ATCAAGTCGGTTATATGTGTGAGTATATGCCTACATATACAGACACAGGAAGTACAGTGGCTCTGCAGGATAAGCACTGGACTGTAAATCACAGCTTGGTGGTTTAAGCCCATCAGCCACTGAGCAGGAGAAAGTTGAGGCTTTCTGCTCCAGCAAAGATTTACAGTCTTAGAAATCCAATACAGGGTCCTATGAGTCAGAACCACCTCCATGGCACTTAACAACAAAAATGTGGGCAGATGTGTGTATATGTGTATATTTATATGGTGGTGGTATCAGTTGCCCTGGAGTTTGTTCTGACTCAGCAATTCTGCGTAGAACAGAACAAAAACCTGCTGGACCTGTGCCATCCTCATAATAATTGCTGTTTGAGCTCATTGTTGCAACCACTGTGTCAATCCATCACTGACCCTCTACCAAGCATAGTATCTTTCTCCAGGGACTGGGCCCACCTAATAACGTATCCAAAGTACATGAGATGAGGTCCTGCCATTCTCACTTCTAAGGAGCATTCTGGCTGTACTTCTTCCAGGAAGAAGTATTTGCTAATTCTTGTCAGTTCATGATATATTTAATATTCTTCACCAACACCATATTTCAAATGCACCAATTATTCTTTGGTCTTCCTTATTCATTGTCTAGGTTTTGCATGTATATAAGGTGACTGAAAAAGCACAGCTTGGGTCAGGCATACCTTGCTTCTCAAAGTGACATCTTTGCTTTTTAACACTTTAAAGAAATCTTTTGCAGCGTATTTGGCTAATGCAATATATCGTCTAATTTCTTGACTGCTGCTTTGATGGGCATTGATTGTGGATCCAAGTAAAATGAAATCCTCAACAGCTTTAATCATTTCTGTATTTATCATGATTTTACTTTACTGGTCCAGTTGTACGGATTTTTGTTTGCTTTACTTTGAATTATAATCCATACGAAAGCCTGTAGTCTTTGATCTTCATAAGTACTTCAAGTCTTCTTCACTTTCAGCAAGTAAGGTTGTGTCATCTGTAAAGTGCTGATTGTTAATGAATCTTCCTTCAATCCTGACGTCACATTCTCCTTCATATATAGCCCAGTTTCTCAGATTATTTGCTCAGCAATGATTGAATACAGACTGACTAAGCATGGTGAAAGGATACAACCCTGATGTACGCCTTTCCTGATTTTAATCAACTCAGTATCACCTTGTTCTGTTCGAACTACTATCTCTTAGTCTATGTACAGGTTCCACATGAGCACAATGAAGTGTTCTGGAATTCCCATTCTTTGCAGTGTTAGCCACAATTTATTATACACAAATTTTGTTGTTGTTGTTAAGTACCATCAAGTCAGTTCCAACTCATAGTGACCCTGTATAAGGTTTCCAATGCTGGTGGGTTTGAATTGCCTAGCTAATGGCTAGCACTCCAGTGCATTTCCTACAGTGCTACACCAAGGCCCCACATAGACAAATAGATGTATGCATATGAGCATGGTGGCTCTATATGACGAGCACTGGACTGTGAATCACAAGGTTCAAGTCTACCAGTTACTCCATGGGAGAAAGATGAGACATTCTGTTCTTCAAAGATTTACAGCCTCGGAAACCCTATGCAGGGTCACTGAGTCAGCACCAACTCCACAGCACTTAACAAATTTGTATGTTTATACATATATACATATAATTAACACACACATAGGAGCACAGTTATGCATACATCTTAGAAATAACCAAACACCTCACAGAATTGGTTTTCTGGGATGGAAAGCTTAGGACCATAGTCCTGTAGGACAACTCTGTCAACTGGCATTATATAGTTCACAACGTTTATGTTATACATTCTAGTTTGATAAATATTGTCTGGGGTCTTAAATGATTGTGAGTGGTCAGCTAAGACATAACTATAAGTCTCTATTTATCTGGAACAAAAGAAAAAGAAAGAACCAAAAACTCTAGAGTCTAGTCTACAAGATTAACAGTTTACACCAGGGGTGAGGAATATCTGGCATGCAGGCCACATAAGGCCCTCGAAATCATTTGATCTGGCTCTGCCAAGGCAACCGCTGTTCCAGTCATCACATTGGTGGGGTGAGTTAATTTAATGTTTGACCAAATAATGCAGGCTAATTTTTAATTTGATAATTTTCTATGGTCCATGAGTGATGTTATAAATTTTGGCAGAAAAAAGGTTCTCTACCCCTTGTCTCAAAGGCATCTAACAACAACAACTCCTTGTTTATACAAACCACAGCCTCACTTACCCTGAGACCAAAAGAATTAAATGGTGTTCGGCTACCACTACTGTCCATTCTGACCAGGGCCGTAATATCTCGATTCTGACAGAATGGGAGAAAAATGTGGACTAGAACTACACATTCCTAAGAAATCCAGACTTACTGGATTGGTTGAAACTAGAGGACTCTGTGGGACTATTAACCAAGGTACTCTTTAAACCTTGCACCGAACAACATGCCTCTTAGGGCACCCTGTAGCTAAATAACAGACTGGTTCATAAAACAAAGAATACCACTATGAACACTGTGCTCCTTTAAAAAAAATCATCTAGCTGAGATGAAACAGTCAATAAAAAAAACAAAGAAAATAGGAGACAGGGAAAGTAGAGTAATGGAAAGAGAACAACCAGAATGGAAACAATGAGGAAGTTCCTACCTTGTGAAAAATATAACCAATGTCACTGAACAATTTGTATATAAATTGCTGGATGAGAAACTAAGCTGCTTTGTAAACTTGTTGATGAAAATACAACAAAGAAGATAATTTGTCACGATATTTATCATTTTAGAAAGTGGTTTCATTTAATAAAATTTGCTTCATTAAATAAAGTAAAAGAAGTCAGTAAGTTCTTAAAGTCTTCTCTTCAGCCCCTAAACCTTCTTCATGCTAGCATAGTTACATACACAAAGAAGTAATCATTCAAAGAGTCTTTCAAATATCCAAAATTTTAACACTTTATTAAAACATGATGTGAATAGAAATAAGGAAACTTTTCAATGATACAGCCTGCAAGTATGTTCTCGATCTATCCCAAATACCTATTGAGATATCTTGCTAACTTGCTGAAAACAATTAAAACGATCACCAGGGAAAATGTGCTGTACTCTCGTACCATTAACTTTTGTCCTCACATTTGATATTAAATGAATTTGAGGCAGTGGCGGGCACAATGAAATTTTCTGATTCATGAATTTAGATTTCCTATCTAACAAAAAATAAGGTTTATTTTTCCTCTCATTGATTTTTCCTCCAGCTTTAAAACAATTGCTTCTTATTTGGTTGAACACCAGGTATGATGTTATTGTTGTTAAGTGCTGCTGAGTCAATTCCAACCCATTGTGACCCTGTATAAGGTTTCCAAGGAGCAGCTGGTGAGCTTGAACCACCAACTTTGTAGTTCAAATAACTTTGCAGTCTGACACATTAGCCCACAGAGCCACACCAGGACTCCCATCAGTTGAGATGGTTGCCTTATATTCAGCAGTGAAAGTGAACAACAATAAATCTTTAACCACCAAAAACCCACTCAGTATTGTCTCACACCAAGGGTTGTTGTTGTTATGTGCCATGGAGTCAGTTCTGACTCTCAGCGACCCTGCATAGGGTTCCCAAGGCTGTAAATCTTTACAGGAGCAGAAAGCCTCATCTTTCTCCCAAAAGACAGCTGGTAGTTTTGAACTGCTGACCCTGAGGTTAGCAGCCAGATTCATAACCACTACAAAACTGAAAGAACAAAAAGCAGATTCAATTTTTCATTTAATACTTATTTTGGGGCACGTGTTTGTCACAAATTAGACTATCCACACATTATTTCAAAAGTGATTTCTCTTTTATTTGCCAAAAATATACACTTGAAACAATGGACATTAAAAATGCATATACGGGGGGTTCCACTGTACTAAAGTCCTTAATTAGGTTCTAAAGCAGTTTTATCTTTTTTTCTTTTTTAATGTTTTATTGTGAATTATATGGTAAGCAGTTTTATCTTTTGCACATAAAAACTTATACTTGGTTTTTCATTCCAAAATAGTAGTTTTCTTTCATCACTCAGTTTTCAAAATATTTAAATGTAAATTGTGAGTTTTCATTAGTTAACTGTCATGATGTGCAATAGTAGCATATGGTAACCTAAGTACCTGATTATTTATCACTGGCAGTTAACCAAGAGTTCATTGTAGCTCAGCAGATTATAGTCTTACAATTAAGACAGGGTTATAAACTGACTTGAACCGGTTCAGTCGTGACTGGCAAAACCAGAACAGATGTAAAATTTTTAAATTTGAGTGAAGCTGAATGATAACCAGAACAGTAAAAATTACGGTCAAAGTCCTTGAATGGGAGACTCAGCAGAGGTGTACTGAGCCCTCTCAAGAGACTGATGTGGCAGACTGGATTACTGCCAGGGATACAGAAAGCAACACACACTGAGAGAGGGGTCGTCAGCTACCATCTTTGATCTGGGCACTGCTATTTCCTACTTTGCCTATCAAGAGATTTGGTAGCTATGCAATGCACGTGCTGCCCGTGTTTTATAAGTGGGATATTAAATTTCTATTAAGACACCAACCCACAATTTGTCCCATTCTAATAATCATTCTGGTTTAACCACATTTTACAAATTTAGGGTTCATTCTGGTTTTACTGTCTTCATGACTGAACTGCAAAGAACCTGTTTGAAGCCCTGAATTAAGGTCACTTTATATACAACCCTTGTTTAGCATGAATAACAATTTATTTCATTTATATACAGCCTGTCCACTATCATTAAGGAGGAAAGGTTAGTAAATATTAAACTTATTTGCAAAGCTGTGTTAATATGACCTACTTTTTATTAGTTAGAAAAAAATGAATATATTTCTTCTATCAATTTCTACTATCTCTATCAGTTTAATTATTGAAAGTAACAAGGTTTATAAATAATGCTAATGTTATCATTTTAATTCTTTTGAAAAATGGAAAGCGAATCTTTGAAAAAGGACAAGACAGTGTCCAGTTTAATTTTTACCTCTATACTGAAATAGCCTCTGTCCACATAGTCACCCAGAAAGAGGTAGCGTGTGTTACTAGGTGATCCTCCAACTTCAAACAACTTCATAAGATCAAAGAACTGTCCATGAATGTCACCACACACTAGGGAAAAAAAGAACATAGGACATAATGTGAAATTGGTGTCTTAGGAAAAAAAGGAGGGAGGAGGTGTTACACCAACAGAGATCACAGCTTATTTTGAACTTCAAACAGTTTTGACTGATCTCTATAATTGCAGTATATGTCTCTATAAAATAGTTCTTATAGAAATATTAAAATCCAAAACCCAATGCCATCAAGTTGATTCCAACTCACAGTGACCCTGAAGGGCATAGGAGAATTGCCCAGGGGGTTTCTAAGGCTGTAACCTTTATGGGAAGCAGACTGCCATATCTTTTTCCTATGGAGTGGCTGGTGGGTTTGAACCATCAACCTTTCAGTTATCAGCAGAGCATTTAACCAGGGCTCCTTTCAGAAATATGTTGTTGCTGTTGTTGAGTGCAGTCAAGTCAGTTCCAACCCGTAGTGACCTTGTATAGAGTTTCCAAGGAGAGGCTAGTGAGCTTGAACCATCAACCCTGTGGTTCAACTTGACCTTGCAGTCAAGCACATCAACCCACAGCACCACACCAGGACTCCAGAAATGCGACATTTTAAATTGTATTGCTTTAATGAACAACAAGCATACTAAGCAACCCTAAGACTATCTTATAATTCCTAAAAAAAATGATCACACCACATTTTAGTTGATTATTTATATACATTTTTCAAAATTAGCTCAAAATGTATGGCAGTGGTTATAGTGGTATGCTACTGAGTTGGTTCCTACTCACAGCATCCCTATATAGAATTTCCACAACTATAAATCTTTGTGGGAGCAGAAAGCCTCATCTTTCTCCCAATGAGTGACAAGTAGACACTTACTACTGACCTTGCAATTAGCAGCTTAGCTCATAATCCACTATACTACCAAGGCTCCTCAAAATATATGAGAGAAATTTTAAAGGTTCTTAGAAAAAATTCCATGATCATTTAAATTCCATTGTTCCATAAACCTTTTGAAGTCCCTTTGCGTGTGCCTTCATGCAAGTGTTCCTCATACCTGTGATTGGAGCATCCACTTCTATCATAGTCTTCTCTTCTCTCAGGATGGCAGTCCCATCATTGATTATTTTTAAGGCTACTACTTCTTCCAGTCGGCCTTCCTTCACCAAATGGTTTTTCAAAATGTCAATTTTAGGTTTCCCATTTTCAAATACTTCCTTCAAAGTAAGCCGTTGAGTTGGAGGAAAGGGGACAGCTAGAAAGAGAAAAAAATTAATTTAAAATACTTAATGCACAGAGAACAACCATTAACACACTTTTGTTATGAATTCAACTTAATAAGTCACCATAATATCACATCCACAGAATCAGAACTATGTGGGGGAAAATTCCAAGACATTGTATATTACCAATTATCAATTAGAACTTTAAGAAAGGCCAACGTTAAAGTCATTTAAAACATATATGTGTGTGTGTGTCTATATGTATACATACACACACACTCACACATTCATATATGTATATATAAACATGAAAGACTTTTGAAGCTGATTCAGGGAACAAGGTAAAATAAATGTATCTATGGAAAATGTGTTAAAAATAAAACTGTGGTTAAAGGAAGTGGGAGAAAAGAAATTATATGAAAAGGGCATTTATTTCTTTTAAGAAATTACCTGCTTAAAAAAGTTTTAGGAGTCTGACTTAATTCCTAATGAGATGTACACTTTATTCTTTTTTTGTTTTTTATTTAAGGTTTTTATTGCAGATTGAGTGACAGTTTATAGGGCACATCATCAGTTTCACATTCAACAATTCATATAACTTGTTTCATTACATTGATTATAATCCCCTCC